TCAACTATAACTCACTCGTTGCTGATAATGAAACATGAAGAAGCAGTAAATGGGGGAAACGGGGCTGTAATACATGAGACGACGGGTCGGGTCGTCACAATGTCGAACGACCAAAATATCCCTAAAATGTTAATAGACTTTTATGCCCTTTAGAATATAAGTTATTTCCTCAACAAAACAATTACCAGTTAGGACAAAATTGTAATGTTCAAAACTTATTGCTAACATAAATATGAACAGAAATCTGAAACCCATCAAGTATCCTAATTGTTGAAGTTCCAATGTCAAACCAATCCTATATAGACAAGAACACTATGAACTGACTCTCACCTTTATATATATGAAGGTCACGTTTACTTTGAATAAGCCATTCCCTATTGTGGGAATATCAGTGTTTCTACAGGTATAGATATGATAGAAGCTCTAAACAACGGGAGGAAGGTAGTTGTCTACGTGATAGAAGCTTTAAACAAGGGAAGAAAGGTAGTACTACGCTTCTTTACGACAAAAAACTATTGGACTATCAATATGAAATTTCTGGCATGTTTATGCAATATGGGGCATGAAGGGTATTATTCAGACAACAGACTAATATTTCTTATCCTAAAGGGATTAATAGATGTCGATATAATCTACTTTTGATCAATCATAAGAACTAATATTCATAAATCAGACAAATAAATAGAGGCCGTGGACAAAATTTATGAAATTTTCTTTTCGCTTGATTTTTCTACGTCTTGCTGGTCGAAAGTCTTGTTGGTCTTGGACGTGGGAATGCTCATGTCTCTCATTGTTTAAGGAATTATGCGATATTTCAATAAATAAGCGCGCAGAAGTATATATTTCATTGAATAAGTTACTATAGGTGCCAAGTTCATTTTGTTAGCATTTTGCCTTCAATTTCTAATCTATTAGGACTCTCTTTCTTGAAGGAATGGAAAAAGACTCCTAAAAGGATTAAATCTTCTTAATATGTCTTATCCTTTTCTTGGAAGACAAGTTTTGCACATCTATAAATTAAGGATCTCTGCTTCTCACAACAGCACAAAAAAAAATTATCCACAATGTAGTCATTAAAGAATTTGTTTAAGGGGAGATTTTTCTCTCGATATTTTTCTTGTTTTAGATTAGTTTTATNGTTGATTATTTTGTTAGTTCGAGCAACATCTAATCATTTTAAATTTAAGTATCATGTTGACTAGAGATCTATGTGCAACGCACGTACATAGAAACTAATATATATATATATATATATATATATATATATATATATATATATATATA